ACGCCTTCTTTAGAGGCATGAAAATTCATTCACCTTTTATCACCGTTCCATCCCACCAGACATTTCCTCCATTCCGTACATTCGAATCATCCATTATGATCGAAGCTGGCTCAGAATCGACATCAACTCCTCAGTGTTTCTCTCTGCTTAGCAAAAGCTAATTTGTCACTTCGCCTGCTTATGATAATAACTGTACTAGGCGGTTCAAGATGATTAAACGCAATTAAAGAGCGGCAGGCAATCTCAAAGATCGCAGAATGATAAAAATGAGTGTATATCATCTGTAATAGATAGATGCTCATTTTTGCTACTCATTCTAGGTATGCGCACAAGTATCTAAAAGATTTATGATGTTTTTCGAGAAGAGATATTTTCCTCCAACGCTAGAATTGTCATCTTATATCAAAATCGGCGCTGTTATGGTCTTCCTTCCTATGCTTTCCTGAAAAGCTCACAAGACTCTGTCTTCTTTTACTAGCCAAGTGTTCATTTACACGTAAATGAAGTGGTCGACCAGTCGCGCCGATGTAGGTGGCACGGCAATCCGTGCACTTCAGTTGATGAAGTACTCCGCATTTAGAGCAGTCTCCCAATCTTCCGTTTGGACACACTACGCAATTCGGCGTGATGCAAGCTCTATCATGTAATCTATTACGAACTAGTTGTCTTTTGATTTTATTTCGGAAATGTTCATAAGGACAACATCGTTTTCCAACTGTGCTTGCACTAAGCATTGTTTGAATGCGGCGGTCAATTTGTCAGAGAGTAAACATAATGGAACTTTAGGTTATATGTCCCCTTGCGTTCATAGATGTTCTTTTGGAAGATTTGGGTTGGAGCGAATAACTGTTGCTGCTTATTATTTGGGATACCATTTTTACAGACTCTTGTCTCTCACTTTCACCGCTGCTAACACTAACTGCTGTTTTAAACATATTGCAAATCTTTGCAGGTTTCTTAACAGTAGAATGAGCGGATCTTGCATGTAAAAGGATATTTCTGCAGCTTTCTTTTCGATACCACTGTACTGCTCCACTGACTTACGGGAGCCAAGGGTCGCGTGGCTTTTCCCATGTAAGACTAATGCTGTGATTGTTGGCTGAGTATTTTGAAACACTCATTCATCTTCAGTGGGTATGATTATGCAAAAATCATCGATATAGCTGTAGTACATTAGGGGACATTATTTTAGTACCGGATGTTCGATCTTATAAATAAGACAGATGGCAAGCACAGAGGGGAGTACGAGTTGCCATGCCACCTACCAGGATCGGCGAGACCAGTCTACCAATTCATTTACGTGTAAATGAACATATGCCTAGTAAAAAGATAGGGACTTGTGAGCGCTTTGGTAAAGTGGGTCAGTCATCTTAAACCACCTAGTACAGTCATCATTATAAGGAGGCAGAATGAGAATTTAGCTCTTGCTAAGCAGGGTAAACACTTGGTGAGTTGATGTCGATTCTGAGCCAGCTTCGGTCAAAATGGTTGATTCAAATGTACGGAATGGAGGAGGTGTTTGGTTAGAAGTGTGATAAAAGGTAAATAAATCACTTCAAGCTTCTGAAGAAGGCATTGTGCCGAAAAGTTGGGCTTTGAAATAAAGTGTTTAAAAAGAACAATATAAACCAAATGGCAAGGTTTAAAGATAAGAGAACATATGGACTGCATCACCCTTTTTTCGGTATATAGAGCGATTACGAAATGTTATGGGAGTAATAAGCTTTTGCTCTTGTTTGAAATCCTGCGAATATATCTGACGGATCCATGCTTGCTAATGCATATTTTAGGTGCTCTTACCTAGATGCCGGGCAGTAACGCTACAATTGCAGGAAACGCTCATGTGCTCATTGGATGTTTTGTTTTAGTGGTAAGATCCATGATTTCTTTTAACTATTCCTTATCGCTATCATCACTACATACTGAGCTGATTTGAGCAAATTGTGCAATTATACAATCAAATATGGATGTTGAGTCGACCTCAAAACTACTACAGATAACCTGGTCTTACATCTTTCTGCAATTTATCTAAGTCGAATTACGGGCTATTTTATTATTTTCTTATTAT